AAAAAATTGTAAACACGATCATTCAAAATCTCCCAAACATGGTCAGAAATAGCTATATTTTTGTTATCAAGAACAACCGGGACAGGTAAGTCAAGCAACGCTGATCACAAATATCTACTGGAGTGCTTCCAAACAAAGTTCACATACTGCTCTAAATATTTCCAAAATGAGTATAGTGTTATGTGTCATTTCACAAGAATCCCTTTACAGCAGGAAATCTGTCTGCGTGAAATTAAATACATTTTATGATTGTCTCAGAAGGGACCATAACACCATAATACCCCTGTCTCGAGGCTCTGTTTTTACGAACACCTACGTACATATCAATCAAGCTCAGACTGAACAATAACAAACCCTGGACTGATTCAAAAGGTCTCCCCGGAGTTGTTTTTAACCTCTTTCCCAATATCAACCAATGCCCAGTCTCCATACATCCCAAGTGTAACGTAAAATACTCTCATAAAGCAGGACGCGTATGTGTATGTGCTCATGATAAGATGGATCTATGATCAGTGTGCCTTTTCTGCTGAGGTGATGACCTCCATGAAGAACTGTAAGCAAACATTGTCGGACTGGAAATCTCAGACATGAGTCTTGCCAGGACAAAAGCTATGGAATGGGGAATGTCTGCAAGATAGGCCAAAAAACGTCAAAGCTAAAAATGGCATGTGAGACTATACCTGAACAAAAGTAATTGTATTCTATGGGAGCACTTGCCCACATATTCTCCTCGGCGGGAAAAACTGAACCACCGCTGACAGACTCAATAGGCACTGGGAAAACCCAGGGGAGAAATAAAGAGGTCTGTAGAGAGACAGCCCGGAAGAATCACCCCCCTTTGGCCAGACTTTTGGAATAGAAGCCAACCAGACAGTAGCAAACAAATGGTGAGTATAAGGATGTTTTTCTTTTCCTATTTTTATTCATTTTTTGTGTGGCACAGAAGTTGTCTTTTTAGCCATTTGTTGCTCTATCCAACCATAACTTCCATCACTTAGTAGACATGAAATACTTCTGACATTCTGTTGATGGGTTTTCTCATAAATCAGCGGTGAAATGTTGTGGAAGGACAAGCATGGAAGGCCATGAGCAAACAAGAGTGACGAGCATGACGTAACTGAGGAGAAGCTTGCCAACTCAACACAATAATTGTTTTCTAGTTTATATAATTCTTTTTTACTTTGTCTTTTTGGTATGTTTCTGTTATGAGGCCATTTTTATTGAGGCAGAAACCACAATACTTTGATGTGTTGCAGATATTTCAGCCTACAGCCCCCAAAGTGAAAGTGGTTAACAATTTTACACACCAGTAACATAAGAAAAAGATAAAACCAGACCATGCAATAACATGATCCAACAATTACATCTGTGAGGCATGAAGAATCGCCATGAGGCTGCATCATATTCTCACATCTCACATCTCTGTGATACAAACTCTAATGACTTGTTAAATGTTATTGAAAACCTGACTCTCTCGGTTTTGCTGAAGTCACCTTCCTCCAAATGCAGAACTATTCACTTGTCCTCCTCTCTCTGTCAGCAGCCATTCTGTGGCTGCATTGGGAGTAGCTCAGGGCTCTGGGCCTCAGGTCAAAGCAAAGGGAGAAAGCAGCAACATATTCCATAAAAAAGTCCTGACTTCAGACAGTGATCCGCATCTCCTCGTCCTCATTCTTTGTCCCATTTACAAGGTTTCCTGAACATTCCATAAAACTTTGAGCTATGGTACAAACTAACAAACTTAATCCATTTCCCACTGCAGTTTCCTGGCCCTATACTCTACTCTGCTTGGACCCACTCATCCCTGCAAGTTTTTTCCTGAGGATATAAATAAACTCTTGGTGTCAGAATCAAGTAAATGTGGAACTATTTTATATGTTCTATAGTAATTTGCTCATTTGAATAGACATAGAACTAAAGTTGTGTGGTGGTTTGTGCGAGTGGGTCAGATCCATGTGTTTTACACACCTATAAAGTCAGCATTGTTGCAGACTTTGTTGGAGCAGATAAAAAAACATGTCCATGCTTCAGCAGCACTTAATGTGGTGAGCCCTTCCCAGTGTTTAGTGAGTGTTTAGTGTGTAGGAAGAGGAGGGATTGGCATGGATTGGAAAACGCTCATGTGTTACAGTAAGCTCTTGTCGAGCAAAGCATCATGGAGGTAGAACCACTGTGCTCCTGCTGCGCATGTCCAGAGAGGATGAGAGTGAGCAGAGGCAATGACTTGAATGGACCGCCATCTTGGAGACCTGGGGCTATTGTTGCAAATAAGTAGTGAGAGCTTTGACTTTTGTTCTCACGGCACAAACTCTTTTAGGATTTCCCTCACATCGACACTTTTCTTTAATTTTTAGAATTATAAAATCCTGTGAGGCTGGTTTTCAAGAGTTCAATCAATTTGTCTTTTAAGAGGTATGGTTTACGATTGTTCAGAGTCGCTTATAAGGCGTTAATGTCTATCATATGCATTCGCATGTATGCAGAAATTGTATTAATTCTACTTGATAACCTATGTAGAGTGACAGAAATTTGACAAAAACAAAAAAGATGCGAAAAAGATGAATGATGACACAGATTCAGGTCTTCTGCCATCTGCTGGAAGTGTAAACACACCACAAGCTTCCATTTGTCCAATTGTTTGTCATCCCTGTCTCCTCTTTCTGTGATTGGTCCCCAAATCCATGGGAAATTTTTGTTCGGAGTTTCCAGGCTGTTATGTATGTGTTTCCCATTGTCAAATTATACATAGAAATGAAAATAAATAGTAATGAGAAATACAGTATCTACAATAGACAAACATGTTATTACTCCATCTGACAGAGATACGAATTAGTTTTGATGATAACATTTGCAAAGGTTTTTTAAACTTTGTGTGTTTGCTGAAAGCTGAAAGCACATTTAAACACACATTGTCTTCATGTTCTTCTAATCAATCTAATCATTAACCTCATTCAGATGTTGCACAAGAGGGGCAAACGTATGTGCAAGTTATTAACTGAGAAAGGCTTCATTGTATGTTATGTTGTATACCTCTTATGCACAACTGAAAATACCAAATTCCGTCAAAATGTGTCCGACATACTGTACTTATTATGTGCTAGAGCTGGGGAAACACTTAAAACAAAGTGAAGGAATTTGTGGCGTTTACTGTTCCTGGAGAATGAGTGGCATTCTTCTTCATTTCCTGCTCGAATGGCAATACACAGAGGAGAAGAGGCACACGTGTGTTTGCCTAGTTCTCCCACACATCCACACACACACCTGCAGTAACAGGCCCTTTCCTACCTCAGCATATGACAAACAAAATAATGCACTAGTTATAGGAATTTGTCAAAGGAGCAGAATGTTCTCTTTCCCAAATACAGGATGAATGGATAATGGCTGTCACTCTGCCTCCTAGTGGCCATTGTCATTACACGCCCACTCATGTATAAACAGGGATTTCATGTAGTGATATCAACTGAGCATGACGTCTTCTGTTTAAAAGCGCAGGAGCACAGCCACAAACTTCCAAATCATATAACTGCATTGTTTCGACTATGTTCTGTGCTGTAAAGTGGCACCAGTGGGAAACAGCTGTAGTGAAATATGCAGAGGTACTATTCTGCCTGTGTGCATTAGCGGGCATTTGGAATAACCACTGTTTGAATATCCTCGATCATACTATGCAACAATCCATGGCTAACTGCTGGATTGATTGTTTGCCGAAATGGACATGTGGTTTAAATCTACTCATTGAACATACAAAGATATTGAACAGCCAGACCACCAGCCTCCCAAAAATCTTCGTTCCAGACACAGACAGAAAGAAGTTCCCCTCATCACAGAAATAAAACAAATGATGAAGGTATTTTTCTAAAATTGAGGGATAGTCTTAATTAGACAGGTTTAATATGTATATGGTTCAATAAGCATTTAGCAGTTTGAAATGTGGCTTTCACTCAATATCAGATCAGTCTATTAGGGCAGAGTGAAACACTGCATGGCAATGAACTGGTATTTGCAACAATCTACCAAACACACTTTTTGTGATCTTCTAAAATAATCATCACAACTTCATCTTTCTTTGAGTCCTTTAAATGCTGTGCTGTCTGACCCTGAGGCTATAGAAGAATTAAATGTTTCCTACATTAAGTTTAATTGAAAACATCCTAAGAGTAAAACCTAATAGATTGCTTTCACGATGCAGAAAGGACACAGGGACAAGGACTCTGAGTCCTCTGTGAGGCATGAAACACAGCTGCAGAGTTCACACTGGAGCACCTACTCCCACCCTGGCTTATGATTGTGTAACTGTCTTTGATATTGCAGACCTATAGGAAGCATGTGTGCAGACACACACCGGTCTGTCAGCTTCTCTCACCATAAGCCAGCAAAACACAGGGTGCTGCCAAGACTTTTTGGACTTAGAGCTCTCCTCCAGACATTTCCAGACTTTCTTCCCTCCTTCCCGCAACACCCCCTTCACGTGTGATTAGAATAATAATATAGGCAATCCTATGCTGTTCGTATTTTTACTCTGATTCAATGCTTGTCAGCACTACTTTCCTGATTCTGTGTTTCATTTGAAATTCCCAGGACTGTGGCTTTGCTGGACTGCACTACAATCAGAGATGTTGTTTCAGTACAAAGCACAGAAGCCAGCCAGAAGTCATTCCTCTGGATGGAAAGTGGAAATCGATTAAGCAGTAAATACACCAAAATCTAAATCAGATTTAAGAATATTTAAATCATATAAAAAAAACAAGGGATTTATATTTAGTAAAAGGTTTAGTAATTATACTTTATCTTGAACCAACATACACAAAGTAGTGCTGCTTCAACACCAAACTCTCATCAAGTGCTTCATAAACAGTTGTTGTGTCTGCTTTCAGCCTTTCAATATTAATCCGACTCCACAGTACCTGGTATCAATAATCTGTGAGCAGTGAGTTATGTAGGTCCCATGGCTGAGTTTTGCTGAATACAGTTTTGATTACATGCTTCCAGATCAAACTTACCTTTTCCTCTGATGAGTGATGGGAGCAGGGCTTCAGGTCTGTCCCTCCTTCAGCCACGCCGGTCTCCCAAGGGGTGTGATGCCATTAAAAACTCAAGAGGCATGCGACCAAAATGCTCTCAGAGGTCCTTACAGTGCCTGAAATTTTATTTTTCTATTTCCAACAAAAATGAAGTCCATCCATGTGCTTTCTGACAGGTGGAAAAAAGTAAAAAACCCAAAAATAAATGGAGCTGACCAGCACTTTCCCGATAAGTGCCTTTTCAACAGTGGAAAAGTGAGGAGAGTGAGGCAACAGGACTGAGGGATAAGCAGCAGAACATTGAGAGAGGCAGCGCTGCTGTGAGCTCAGGGTCCGAGAAGGTCGGGCTTCACTCACACAACTGAGAGAACACAACTTATAACCAGGGGCTGAGCACGCTGCTCCAATCTTGACTTACTTGGCGATCTCTCCCACTGGCTTATTTTGGGAAAAGACAGACAGGATTGTTCATTGGGTTCACCCCCTTCTTCCAAAAACCAAGTGTCTGAGGCTGGCTCTCGGAGAGGAGGGAAGTGAGCAGGATGGGGTGGGGTAGTGCTCATATGGAGCTGGTGATGAGAAGAGAAAGACAACATAATGGGGCAGGGGAACACACATGGCATTACTGCACTTATTAAAAGTACATAACAACTATATATTTTAGTCAAACAGTAATTTATATATGCTTGTTCTTTGTGTCAAATTATTTTTACTATTTGGTTTACACATCCCCACTTCCTCCAGCTCACGGAGGGGAATAGTGAGGCATTCCCAGTCCTGCTGAGAGTCCCTGCAGGGTGACCTCCTCCTGGGGGGACTTGCCTGAACTCATCCCTCTATCTTAAGGGGAGCACTCATTTTGTCACTGTCCGCAATTTTGTAGTGGTGATTTGTGGTGTATATTATGGAGAGTAAATTGTCCGTAAAACTTAAACCCAACTTGATTGGTCCTGGTAAAGCAGGAGCAGTGTTCTCATACTGTACAGAAGTCATTGTACAGCATTGGGTTTACAGAAGGGTGTTTTAGTGTTTGTGTTAGCTTGTGATTGGTCAAAACTCTCTAAGCTAAACCAAACACTTTTCTCCCATTAGCAAAGACAAGATTGAGATAATGATAATAAATGTAAGGGCATTGAAGCTATCGTAAATAGAAATATTTGTAGTGCCATAATTTTAGGCTTACATATTTAATATCATTATCATCATTTGGAGGCCTTTCATATGTTGTAAAAAGGCGTTACACATAATTCTGAATCACCTAAGTTAGCCTAAATTAGTTTTCTTCCCAGTTGATCCAGATGAAGTGAATAATCGCTAGAACAAACAAGCAACGGCGTCAAGTTTGTGAAAGGACCATGGTGCTCTGCGGACTTGGTGGCACTCAGAACATGGAAAGGGTGGAGTGACCAGATGCCAGTGGTGATGTCATCAATAGGAGCCCTGTGTAGTTGTGTGGCCTGCCATTCATCCACAGGTGTGCCCCTCAGTGACGACGTGTGGCCCGGTCACACCCCAGACAAAGCAATGGCCCTTTGTGGCTCTGGAGGAAAACACCAGGGCAACAGCTTCTCACTATGAATCTATCATTTTCCTGGTTCCTCAAATCAGAAAAAATCATTCTGACATTGATTTGTCAGAAACTTCAAACTACCAGCAGCACTTTTTAAGCTCCTCCTCCTCATCAGTTTTATATTATGAAATAATCACTTTGCCCAAGAAGACAAGAAAATCCCCATAGTGGTCAAAGGTTGCTTTTTTTCTTCAGTCCATTCCATTAGTGAGAGTGAAAAATAAACACCACTCATTTACTGACTCACTTAAAACTAGCACATTGCATCACACAGGCTGTTACATGCCCTTTCCCAAAAATAAGCAGAGAAAGTGACGTTGGAAGTAATATTACCCACCCCACCCAGGCCCTTGAACATAGCACCCTATGTCTTCACCTATAAGTCTCTGTTCTGCTCTGAGGTGGGTCTGTATGACTGAGTGGGGTGGGGTATGCTTGTTCGAGGTACATTGGCCTTGTATGTTCCCTAAGAGGCCTCCTTCAATGGTGGGAGTGTGTAAATGGGTGGAGCAGTTATTTGTGAGCTCCAATAGAATAAACTTCCGAGTGGATTACCTTTCTGTTGATCCTCAGATTCTTGTCAATTTGGTGCTGCTCAGTGTGAAACAAAGATAAAGCATTGCCAGCACCTTAAGATTCAAGATCCTTACGTTTCATTGGCCAAATAATTCAAATCACTGAGTGGATCCTAGTTGGCACTTCAGCAACAAATGGGAAGCATAGGGAATCAAACTTTTCCAAAATGACTCCTGGCTTTCTTGAAAATATGATAAGAGCATGTCTGTAAAAGGTGCATGAGAACGAGCAATAAGAGTGTTTGTATCGGATTCTACTCTAAAACAACCATCCAGACTAAATGAAACGTTCCAAACAATTCTCTCTTTTAGGACAAAGTGTAAGAAGTTCTCCCACGTAAGTGCGTGGTTCATATTTTGCCAGTTCTAATCCCACAAAGGCATGTCTGGCATTCACCAGATGCGCCTACAGGTGTGGAACTGTCAGAAAGCAGAACATTTATATCAAACAAAACCATTGTAGAATCTTTATTGAAAAAAACTGTATTTAATGTATTTATTTATCTGAATGGGACCATGTGTATTAAATAACAGTTACTGCTGTAAATACTCCGTAATTAGCTCAAGGCTATGTAGTCTTCATCCATATTTCCATTGAACTAGTTTTTAGTGGTAATTGAATCCCAAAGGAATCCTATACATGTCCCCATGTATATGGCGAGAGTAGCTCAGTTGGTAGAGCACTGACCTTTAGGCCTGAAGGTCGTGGGTTCGAGCCCACCGTAAGACCTACTTCACGACTCCCACTGATGACTGCTGTCGTTGTGTCCTTGGGCAAGACACTTAACCCCACTTTGCCTGAAGCCCCCGCTGAAAGATCTCAGCTCCTGTGGACTCACCACCTGCAGGAGGATCAGTGAGGGGCTGGTGCTCTGTGTACTGGGTGCAGCTCTGACTGCCACCCCCCCGACCCAGAAATGGATTAAGGGGAAGAAAATGGATGGATGGACGGATGGAATCCTATACACAGACACTAGGAGAACATGCAAATTCCCCATGTCACCTGGGAGTCAAACCCACAACCGCCTCACTGACAGGCGATGGCTCTAACCACTGTGTCGCCTTCACTGTGTCTGCACTGTACATGAGAACACACATTTGAGAACCAAAGACACACCTGAAGATATGTTCCAAAGCCAATTCTGAGAAAGTGATTCAATAATGATAATTGTCCTCATCGGTGCAGATACAGACACCATTCTGATACCACATGGACATTGGTTAAACCATTAGAGTCTAGACCAATGAAGCATGTGGTGTATTGTTGCACTTCGTATGAGTTTGATTTTCCAATCTGCTATTGGCAAATCCAAAATATTGCTATACAAAAATCCATTGATTTGATGCAATGGTGTAGCTCAAGTACATGAAACATAATTAAAAACAGAGTAAAAATACATTTCAAACCACGCTGTCAGTGTGAGTGCTTCGGGTTCTGCAGCGCCTCCACAGTCTCTGTGCTTTAGCTGCAATGATAGCAACATTTTGGATAAGCGTTGTTAGTATTAGATAGCAATATGGCCTACGTGCAGGACTGTACAAGGACTCTACAAGGACTCCATGTTATGACTATGATTTGACTGTCTCTTTGTGACACGTATGTCTTTCGATGTGTGACGTGACAATGACTATATAAACTGTGTACTGCCTTTATTCTGTCTGAGAGAAAGAAACAGAGTAAACCAGTGGAACTTGAGAGAAACTTAAATAAACTTCCAGAGTTTGGCACACCACGATCCGTTTCTGTCTGCTAAATCCCTGACAGATTTGGTGGAGAATGCGCGGCTCGGTGTGTGCCATTCTCTGGATTGTTTTGAGGGAGTTTGCTTTGTTTCTTTTCCTCTGCGTGAGAGACCGGCATGCTGTGTCTGGGAGCGGGGATTCCAGCAGACTGGAAGAGCTGTTCCTGGATGCTTCTTGTCGCTTCTGTCACTTTTGTGTTTAAATTGAATTTTTCGACGCGGAAAAGATGTTGGTCGACCTCTTGAACAGTCCGGACAAAGAAAATAAGGTAAGCAGACACCTTTTTTAATATGTAAAGTCTGCATAATTGGATACTAGCTAAATTTTGAGCTGTCCCGGAGGTCTGTCCAACTCTCTCTAAATCAAATTTTCTTTGTTATGTCTCTGTCACGTCTTTGTCATGTCTTATTTTGTAGAAAACAGGTTAGCTGTGTGGGTAACCAGTCCCTATAGGAAAAAGGAACCCCTGACGTATCGGGGTCCCTGTCCTTTGAAGTAGTCAGGACAGAGAGAAAAAAAGGAACCCCTGACGTATCGGGGTCCCTGTCCTTTGAAGTAGTCAGGACAGAGAGAAAAAGGAACCCCTGACGTATCGGGGTCCCTGCCTTTGGAGTAGCCGGGGCAGAGAATAGAGAATAGAAAATAGTTAGTGAAACCATGGTGTAAAATTTAAAGTTATAATAAAAAGGGAAACGTTAAACACTAAAGAGTGCCTTTTGTTACTATTGTGGAAAGTGATCACTTCTATAGACTTGGATGACAAAAGTATAAACTACAAGTTATATTCGCTTAACAAAGTAATCTTGAAAGTTCTTCTTCTTTCTGTTTTTGCATTTTTGCTAAAACACTACTTTCTGTCTGTGTATGTGCAGCACTATCTTGCTGCCGTTGTCAGGGGAAACGGCCCCCTCCTTTGCTACTCTGGCTCTGAATCAGAGCAAAGCTACTGCTTTAGGATTTCTGGCTTTTCATAGTTTTTATTCCGTTAAATTTGCGAAATTTGCCATTGAACATTGTGTTATGACACAGTTAAACGTTTTTAAACACCATTAGTGAATAAGTTTTGAATATTATATGTTTTTTGAAACCCAAATATTAGTGCTAAAGCTGTGCAATTCTTTTTAGACCTAACATATTTCTAGATTCCATTCTTTTAAATCTGCTGCTTATTTCTTAACTTTTTGTGAGTTGTGTTTGTTTTTATGTTTTTATTTTAGTTACAAAAGCCGTTTTTCAAACATTTAAATTAGAATTTGTGTTAAAAGTGATTATTGATTATAGACTTCGTCTAAAAAGAAAGAGGGAATTAGATTAGCTGTAAAAGTATTATATTATTAAGTTAAACTACCCAATTCACCCATTGCAAGCGGTGACGTTTTTGTTTTGACTACACGCGTGACCTTGCTCCTGCTGCTCCTGCTGCCCAGAGACAGGAGGAGGCAGCTCCGACGCACAATGAGTTTTATTGAACCAAATCCAGTTTAGCTGTAGCTAAATCTTTTGTTTGATTTCAAGTTTTGTTTTAAATGTTTTTACAAATTAATGTTCATTTTTATAGAGATTTTTCATAATTTCATTTCATGGCGTCTTTCAAGAAACCCAAGGACGCATAGATAATTAAACACAGTACAAAAGTACACATATTTTAAAGTTTGAAGATTTTTGAGATTTGAGTCTTGTTTTTTATATTAAGAGTTTCTGGTTTTAAAAAGTTTCACATTAGTAAGATAATAAGTCATCTTTATTTACATAGCGCATGTTGAAAAACCCAGAGCGCTCCAAAATTGTTTTGACTTCAGAGAGAAAAACAATCTCATTCGCATACTGATATCTATTGTTTTTTTAAATTGGCCGTCTCAAGGATTGTTTTTCAGACTCTGCCACACTGTACGAGAGGTCACTGCTGGACACTGGACACCAAAGCCCACCCAGCCACAGGTCACAGATCAAAGAGCAAAGGGAAATGCCACCTCCTTGCCCCTCCCCACGCCACTGCAGAGCTGAGTGGGTGTGAGAGAGACCGGGGCCATGAAAGTGGAGGTTTCTGGAGACGTGATGGGTGGAGGCCTCAGGTAGAGACCTAGAGGCAGTTGAAAGTGTGTCCACGTGGTTACATCGACACAGTGTGACCTTTGAGACCTACAGGTGGTTCGAGGAGTCTGGAGACACAACCCCAAAATTCACACCCTACACACACACACACACATACACACACACACATACACACATACACTCACACATTCACATTCACATATAGATACATGAAAAAGCAGAACATGAGAAAAAAGCATTTTAAAAGTTTACTCCAATGTAAACAAATATTTTTAATTGTCTATCACTTGAATCAGTATTTTTTGAGACCAGAAATGTTCATTTGAATTCTATATTGTCATGGACATAATTGACCTCTGTCCTGACACTTTTGATTTGTTGATGTTGTACTGTGTGAAGTAATTACATTGATTAGGATTAGATCTGATAAAAATACAAATTAGAGAAGTAAACTGCGCTTGCTTTTGTCTGAGGGACAGAAGCAACAGCATGAATAGAAATTGTCTTTAAAGTAGAATCAAAGTGACTTAACCATAGAGAGTAACTATTGCATAACAAGCTGTGTACAGGAACTGTGAGACTGCACCATTGACCAGAAGTGCATCGCAAATGACCTGATGTGCTTCAAGTGAAAAGACTGTATCTGGAGATCCGATGTGCATCTGGAGAGACCAAAACCATGGCTTGGACCCTACTGATGTCCAAGATGACATCTCTCGAAATATGACCTGACCTGATGACGACTGAGACTCACCCTCAGGGGACCCTGAGGACCTGAGGATCTGAGGACCTGAGAGAGAAAACCTGGGGAGTGATGTTTATATTATTAAAATCATACATTGATGAGTGCTAAATGAGAGAGATACTCATGATTCTTCTTTTGTTTTTGTTTGTCCCTAGCTTCTGGACATCTGATGATCTATTGGACACAGCCATTTGCAGAACAAGAACCAGCCAATGAAAAATCGTCTATTGCCGATGCTATTGCTACAACCAGAACCTGTGACCAAATGCAATATACATGTTAAGTATTCAGACAACTGACAGACAAAACTTTGACTTTTTAGTCTGGGAGACTGA